TCCTCCGCGCGCCCCAGTAGCGCGGCGTGCGGCTCGAAGGCGGCGGGTGGCAAGAGCTTGTCCCCGGCCAGGTGGCCAGGCGCGCCGTAGGCGGCCAGCGGCGGGGGTGGTGGTGGCGGCGGCTGCGGAGCGCCGTGCAGTGAGGGCGGCAGCGCGTTGGGTAATGGCGATAGCGGTGACCCCATGGCCTGCAGCTCCTTGCCGTAGGGCCCGTAAAGGTGGCCCACGGAGGCCAGCGCGGCACGCTCGTCGCGCATGAGGGTGAAGCTGCCGCTCACGCTGGCCGCCAGGCGCTGTGGCGGGGGCGGCGGGGGCGGTGCGGCTGCGGGGTGCGGATGCGCGTGCGGGTGGCCGCCGTGCGCCCCGGCTACGGCCGCTGCCGCCGCGTGCTGGTGGAACTTGTCAGCCACGGCCGCGAGCGGTGGCAGGTGCTGCAGGGGCGTGAGCGTCGTGTAGGTGCCGCCCAAGCCGGGCGCCTCGCAGGCCATGCCCATGGCCGGGTGCAACGGACTGGCCAGCTCCCCGCGGAAATCAGCGCCGCCGCCCGCACCGCCCGCGCCCCCGGCGCCCCCTCCGCCGCCACCGTCCAGCAAGCTGGCCATGCCGGCCACCAGACCGGGGCGCCCCGGCGCCACCAGGCCGCGGTGCTGTGCCGCCGCCGAGCGCGCGTGGCCAGGACTCAGCAGCTCGCCCGCCTGCGCGTGGGCCACGCCGTGCAGGCCCCCCAGGCCCTCCAGGCTCAGCTCCATGCTCGCTGGCTCCGCCGCTCGTGCGCCTCAAGACCGCCTCATGGCCCCGCTGCTCCGCGGGGGCTGCGCGCGAGGCTGCCCGGCTGCCCTGCTGCGAGAGCGGCCACCAGGATGTGGCCGGGGAGCCGCTGCCTGCGCCGGGGCCCGGCCTGACGTCAGCGCCCCCGCCCACCGCTCCCCTCGCCGCCTCCCGCCGCCGAGCGCAGCTCCCGCCCCGGACCCCGCGAGCGCAGCTAGCCACCGCACAGGCTTGGGGACTATGAACTAAAGGACCCCAGAAGGGACCGGCCTCGGTGGGGGTGGGGCCTCTCCCTGCGTCGCTGACCCCATTTCTCTCCCCCAAGTGTAACCTCGGGACTTTCCTGCTGGAGTCCCATCTCCAGGGAGGGTGTGGGAGAGGACCTGTGATCTACTGGTCATCTCAACAAAAGACACCCCAGTCACAGCCCCCCCTAAGCAGGTTCCCTTGCAAGCTCAGTCCCCAAATGCACATATATGGAGCCAAAGACCCCACAAGGCTTGTCAGAGGGGCCAGAGGAAGGAGAGGGAAGATACAGGGTCTGGGCCTGTATCCGCCCCCAAGTGCTGTGTGGGCACCTGGACCTCAGTTTACTCGGTGACATGATGGAACACCTGGCCTCAGAGGTCCTCCAAAGCAGGGTCCAGGCCAGCTGAGAACATGTCCCTCCCTCCTTGTTCCCAAGGCCACCACTGCTACCTTCTTATTCATTCTCCTTTTTCAGAATTGGGGGGGGGGGCAAAGGTGTTCTTTTCCCTCAACAAGTGTTCCATGTCAGAGAGACCCCCAAATGATCCCTCCAGCGGGGTAAGATAAGATGTAAGACTGACCTCAGGTGGGGGAGGGAACCCAGCTCCTGCCCCCCTCTTTACATCTGTCCCAAGGGTAACCCTAGATTGGTTTCTAAAAGAGGAACAAGAGGGCTCCATCTACCAGAGTCTGCCAGTGAGTCCTGCCCCCCATCTCAGCAGGGAGAACTGGGGGTTCTATTTAAGGCTGTAAGGACTAGCTTAGGGCATTAGCCCCCATGCAAACCACGTGGACACACTGACTCCCTTGGGTCTTCACCGTGACTCTTGATTCCTGGAGATTTGCTTCTTTGAACTACACCACCTGGATTGGCCCCTGCAGGCCCTTTCTATGCCTTGGTTTCCCCTGATGGTGGGGGGAGTCAGAAGTGCTTGTGAAGGCCACAGGTTCATCTGTGCTGACCACAATAGCAAGAAAGAGGGAGGAGCCAGTCTTTGAATTTGAGGGGCTGGGGGACCTGAGGACCTCAAGCCCTGCTATGGGGGTCCAACTCATCTGATCTAGGTCCTGGAGTGGAGTAAGCTACAGGGGACCCCTGTAGTAGGACGTGGTGCTAAGGACTCAAAAGCCATACGCTTTTAGTAAGCACCTACTGTTTGCCAGGTGCAGCTCCAAATGGGAAGTCTTCAGGACCAACATGGGAGAGGGGTGTCTGGGCAGAACCACCTCCTTACTCTCCAGAGCTAACACCCCCTCCAAGTCCTGGACCCTTTTCAACTCTACCTGTTACAGAGTTGATCAAGTGTTGACCATCACACCCATTTTCCAGGTGGACAAACAAGTGGGGAGAGGAGCAGCAGGTCCAGAGAACCGGGTACTCCCCTCCCCAAGTCTGTGGGTGGTTCTGATTGTACTGACTTCCCCTTCCAGTAATTACAAATGAAAGTAATTGTGGTATGTCAAAATCAACCCACAGACAGAACATGGTAGCATCCCAGACTCAATCCAAGGAAATGCCCAAGAGTTTCTGGCTAGGAAGACCAAGATTTGTGGGTGGGAAACCTAAGAGAAGGAGTTGTTGTTGTTGTTGTTACGTGCCTTGGAGTCGGTTCCGACTCATAGCGACCCTGCACGGGGTTTCCGAGGCTGTAAATCTTTACGGGAGCAGAAAGCCTCATCTTTCTCCTGTGGAACAGCTGGTAGTTTCGAACTGCTGACCTTTAGGTTCACAGCCTGATTTGTAATCACTATGCTACCAGAGTAAATACCCTCAAGTGCAGACATTGATCCCGGCTTCAGGGAGTCCGGATTATGGGTATCCTTGCCTTTTCTTTATCTCTCCTAAACAGCAGCTGTTCAGTTATCATTTACACTTTCATAACAAGCGTGTGTGGCTTTTGTGATGTGTAAGCATCCATTTTGAAAGAAGAGTGGAGAATCGGAGGCTTTAGAGATGGGACTCAGCTTCTACTCCCCGTTGTAGCCTGGGAACACCTAATTGTGGCCACAGCCCCCTTAGAGACTCTCGGGGTTGGAAAGGACCTCCCAGCAACCAAAGAAATCCTGTAATCCATTTGCACTAGCCCTTGGCCACTCCCTACATCCCCGAAGACACATCAGGACTTGGACTCTCCCAAGAATGGGGATCTCACTCTCTTGAAGAGGCTGAACACCAGTTGGGTAATTGAGGAAAAATTTGTTGGCTCCCAGAGGGGGACCGTGGCCCCTTGAGGCCCCAGAATCTCTACCCTCACCCCTACCCACTGCCAGCGGCTTTCAGTAATTAGTAAAAGAGAATTGAGCCAGCCACGGGGCGGGTGGGACACTGGGCCTGATCGATCTTCGGTCATTAGGCAAATTGCGGTGGGGGAGGGGCAGGCTAGATGGGGGCAGGGCGTCCCCATCCCAGCCCCCATAGGGACCTGGAAGTCCTACGGCCTCAATATCCCTTCTTGGAAAATAAGAAACTGACCCAGGGGCCCTCCGCGCCCCAAGTCGGGAGCTGGGCGTCTGCAGCTCTGCGCACCTCTCAAAGGCTGGCCAGGGTGGGCAAGACGTCCACCTGTACGTACCCATTTTGGGCCTGGGGGAAGAAGGCCAAACAGTCCAACCTCCAGTCCTCTCCCCGGTGGCTTTGAGCGCCGGGACAGCGGTGGGGAGGTCTGGCGGGGCGCTGGGGCCACTCCTTGCCAGGGGTGGACCTGCTTCAGCCGCTGAAACTGCCCTCCACGCCCACCTCTGAAACCTCCAGCCCCTTCTTTAAGCCGTCAATTCCGCGGCCTCCTCTTCCAGAACACTGTGTCTTCCTTGTGGTTCTCGACTCCCCCATCGCAGCTAAATTATTTGGGGGGATAGATACTCAGTTTCTCTTTTCCAGTCTCCCCCAGCCCCTTCCACGGTTCGCAGCTGATTCGATTTGTCGTCACGGAAATAAAAACCGCCGATTGCTGGGCACCCCCCTTTTATTGCAGCGAGGTTTTAATAACTGGTGGTAATTCACGCCCCATTCCAGTCCCACCGGACCTCAGACTCGGCCAGGGTCCTTTCCTCTATAGCCCAACCCTCTGACGCCCCAAATCTGGACCCGCGGCTACCTGGGGGCCCAGCCACCTTCGTTCAGGCGGGGTCAGGGGATTTGGTTCCGATTTTGGGGGCAGGAATGAGCTTTTCCCGGGCGGCCAGATCAGAGGGCCGGGCGGGAGTCCTGGTGGGGAGCTGTGAGAGGCGTCCAAGGGGTTAGCTCTCGGAAGGGTTGGGTGCCGGCATGTCCCGAGAGCCGGACTCCAGCACCTACACGTGGTGTTTCGCTCCTGGCTGGCTGGACGTCCGGGTCTCAGGTCTCCTACGGGCGCTGTGGCCTCTCTGGCGCGCTGGCCCGCGGGGTGGAGGCTTCCGCGGGTGGGGCGGCGACAGCTGCACCCAATCGATCCCCACCGCCGGGTCTCGGTGCCCCCGCCGAGGGCGGCTCAATCGAATCCTCATCGCTCCCGGGCTGCCCGCCCGCCGCGCTCTCGGCAAACACGCCGCTTGTTTGCACAGGGCGCCCAGGGCTGGGTGTCCGGGTGGGGTGTCCCTGGGCCCAGTATTGTCCCTCTCTACCCCGGAAATCTAGGAGACCCAGTTAGAACCCCTCCCAACGACTCAGGGGCTGGGTGGCCGCAGCTTAACGGGTCCACTTTCAGGAGGGCTAGCACCGTAGCCGGACTGCTGGGTCCGTGCCTCAGTTTCCCCCCCTGAATCATCAGGGCTGTGGGAACCGAGGGGAGGAGTTCTAGGACGGCGCCCGAGGTCTACCGCTCTCCTCCCAGCCCTTTTTCGCTCCCTCCGCTTCCGCAGCCACCGAGGTCCTAATACCAGACCGTGGGTGGCGGGGCCTGGGAACGAATGCCCCCTCCAGTCCCGGCTCACCACTGCTCCTGCCAACCCTAGAGTCCTGCCCGCAGTTTGCAGTCACGGAAACTGAGGCTGGGCTGTGGCTCCCTGAAGAGTAGGGGGCAGGGTGACCGCGGGGCGGAGGGGCTTCGGGACTCCCCACACGGGGCCGCGCTCCAGAAGGGCCCCCAGTCGCCACCCCAGCCACGGGGTTCCTGGGCTGTCGCGGTCCCCGGCCCTCAGTGACACCACCTTCTTGCTGCCGGGATGCGCTTTTATAAAGAGCAAGGAAATAGAACTGCGTTTGTTTAATCCTCAGCGCTCCCAGCCCGGGAGCCTGGGGTCGGGGTCGGCCGTGGGTATGGGGAGGTCCAGCCAGGCCGCTGGGCGCGGGGGTCTCCAGGCGCCGCAGCGACTGTACAGAGCCGGAGACCACCGCCAACTTCTCCATCGAAGCTTCCAGATTCCGGACCGCGAGGCGGGAGGGCAGGACGGGAGAGTGTCTCTTTCTCAGACCTGGAAAGCGGGGGGCTTGGGGAGGGGGTGTGTGGAGGTCCCAGCCTCCTCCCGCTCCAGGTGGCTTCCCCCAGGGGTGCATCCGGCCTGGAAACCTCGCCCGAGTCCACCGACGTTTGGAGCGAGGCTGGCGCCCCATTAACCGGCCATTTATCTGAAAACACCGGCTGCCCTTCCGCCTAGCCCAGACAAGGGGAGGGGAGCCCAGGTGACTTAGCCCCACCCCTCCTAAGGCCGAGCCCGTCCATTTTTAGAGGACCATAGAGTCTATGCCTCACCGAGAAGAATGAGGGGGGCAGCTATTCCCTTGATTTACAAACCTCCCAGTGGGTGCCCAATGCTG